AAGGACATATAAAATGTTTGACCCAAGTCATACAGTTAAAGGGAAATGGTACGAAATACTAATGAAGTGAATTTATACTTTTGATTTTGAAGCAAGTAATAAAACTGCCTAAAAAAATTCTAACTCTCATTATTCTGGCATTTCGCAAATAGAAAAAAACTTTGGTAATCATAATTGACCTAAAACAGGAAAAGTTTATTCTGACTTCACATCAGATAGTGTGAAAAATAAATGCATATGTGTCTTTTTAAATAGTGTATGTAAACTTTGTGTATATATATATATATATATATATATATATATATATATATATATATATATATATATATATATATATATATATATGGCTGTCAGGTGAAGAGTTAGACAGGACCAGTGAAACCAAACAAATAGTGAAAATAATAAATGAAAATCATTAATATAGATAAATAATTTCTAAACAAATGTGAAAAGTGCTTTTGCTCATAATGCCCAACTGTTCTGAATAACAACAATAGGAGTTACTTAACAGAGTATTTTAGTGGAAGACAATGTGTTTGCTACAAGTTTTTAAATACATTAAATTTGTTTTAAAGTAATTTGTCAGTAAATTAACAAACCGAATAATTCCTGGAAAGCCATTATTTAAAGATTGATTCACAAGAGTCCCAACTAAGTTTACTGCAATAAGTTCCTTTTTCACCAGCTTCATTATAAAATTTACAACATCTTCTTTATCATTTTACACTGAATGATGCTCACCCTGCTTTTGTCACAGTCTGCAGACCAAGGAAAAACAGAAGTGAGAGTTGCATCGTGTTCAGCCTAAAGCTTGTGTCCATATGTTCTGTAAACAGATGCAAACATGTTTTCTTATTTTGCAGTTTTCGTCACTGATGCAAAAATCGCATAATCAGTCATGAATCATGCAGCTTTGTTAAAAATAATTTACTAGCATTTTAGGAGATTACACAAAACAAGAGGTTTACAAAAACAGGACTAGTCTGATTGTTAGTGACTGGATTTAATTTCACATTATAATTATTGAAGTTTTATAATTTTTTTTTTTTTACTTTGACAGAAATGTGCTCACCTCTGTTGTGCTTTAGGAACATACTTCATGAAAAATTGTATCCTTTTGGCTTTGTGACGTCTCCTGGATTTTGTCTTGACGTTTGTCTTTTCGTAGTTCTTCCCTGCGCTGGGCAGCAGAACCCATGAAGTAACTTCATGGACGTGGTGGTGTTGGGTTTTAAATGCAGGGGTGACTCATGGCATTTGAACCTGTTGCTATTGGATGTAAGTGGTAAGGTAACAGCTGAGAAGGCAGGCATTGGTTACTGGGCCTGTGACCTAAACATCCTCTGAATCTGTACCATCATTACTGGTGCTGGTGCCTCAAAGACCAAAAAAACGTTTATCTGAGCTTAATCCTGTAAAGCCAGGCATTTCGGGAAGGATGATGGGGTTGTTTATTCAATGAGACATGAGGGCTCAAAGCTTTTGTACTCACCAATTTCCTGAGTCTGACCTTGTGCATGTAAGAAAGGAGGCTCAAACACAGCTGTTGCCACAATATAGTCAGGCACCTGAAGGAAAGAAAGGAGAAGTTACAAGAAGGTTTCCATAATGAAACAGGCAGCACAGTGTGTCAAATCTGATGTCTTTACTTTACATACATGCACACAAATTGAACTAATTTGTTTTTTAATAATTTAGGTCACGCAGTTTGATTTTAACGTTTCAGAGAAGTGGATGTGAAACTGAGATAGAAGAAACAAGCGTCACAGTCCACAGCTGTATTATTGATTATATAAGGGTGTAATTGTGCTAGTACTTTGTGAAAATGCTAAAGTCAATATATTATCACAGTGACAAACATAAAGTGTATAAAATAACTATATGTAGCATCAGAGATAAGTACCTAGTGCTAAAATGTAATATTTAGTTGTTAACACAAAGTACAAACATAGAATGACAAACAAATCTGGTTCAGGTAAACTCTGATTATTCTTTGTAGAGATCTAGTATAGAGCTGTGTGAATGGGTAAATGAGGCACAGATTGTTGTATAAAGTGCTTTGAGTATCTTGATAAGATAAAAAGGTGCTATATAAGTACAGTCCATTTAAAGATAATATTGTTTTTATATTTATATATAGAAATAAACCTTTGTTGAATCAGCTTGAATTGACATTATGTTACATTATGTATTTTTTGTATCATATTTAGGTGGTTAAATGTCAACCAGATGTGATTCTAACTCAAAATGTCACCAAAGCCCATCTCCGACTGCAGACTCATTGAAATTTACTTCCTGCTGGACTGACAGGCTGTTTTTTTTTTTTTTTAATGTTGAACTAAAACCCGTGTTTCTAGTGTGTGAACAGATTTACACTTTGTTAAATAAATAGGGTTTTCAGATGTGCCTACAGAAAACTGTTTGTGTCTGTTAGTCCATAAGCTGTTAGTCTGACACTTAAAGGAAGTTCAGCAAAAAAATGTTATTAAACTGATGCATTTAGATTTCCTTATTGTATATAAAAATACTCTGTAAAAATGATTGCTCGTTTAATACAGTGCAGTATAAATGCATTGTAAATGTCCTGATGCATGCTCAATAATCAAATGTAAATGTCATTACCAATTAGAGTGAAGCTGTTTAAACTTGTATTATCATTAGTTGAGAAGAAATTTTAAAAGGTATGCACTCTTATCAATTTCTTAAAGGGATACCTGATTAGTTGGTTTAATCAATTTTTGGAAATTAATGTCACACGGACATGGCCACATTATGTACAATGCAATGTATGGACAGGTCACACTGGAGCAAGCTCCATCTAACGTGAATATAAGTTTTGGACACTGTCTAAAGTTCAGCCCTTTTAATTTGAATTGGAGTATGTTTAACAGAGAAAGGATTTCAGAAATTACTCATTTTGCAACAGAAAATTATGAAGACGGAATGGATGAAGAGGAGTCAGACTGAAGAACTGGTTTTTGTTCTGTTGCTTGCAAAGAGAAAACTTGTACAGTACTGCTAAAGCTTCACTTTCTGTCACAAGCTGTTTACGACAAGCACAGGGATCCAATCGTATTTTCCTAACACAACTTTCACAACGTTTGGCAGCACATCGGCCTAGTGGTTAGCACTGATGATCCACAGCAAGAAGGACCTGGGTTCAATCCCCAGATTGGACTAAGGGTCCTTCTGTGTTGAGTTTGCATGTTTTCCTCGTGTTTGCATGAGTTTTCCCTGGGT